GGGGAGGGGGATCCCATTCAGCTGGCTGCTTTGTCCTCTCAACACAGATGCATACATCTTGAAAGTGTCTTTATTTTCTAAGATTATTACAAGTCCAATATGATCTCTGTCCCAAATGACTGATGTGTTCTTCTCCAAGGAGCTCAAATTAGCACAGGGGTGCATGCCCCACTTGGCCTACAGAGGAACTGACTGATGTATTGTGGAATAATCTTTTTGTACACTGTGAAGATATGTCACTCTGATTGGTTTAATAAAAAGCTGAATGGCCAATAGCTAGGCAGGATTTCCAGGCACAGGGGATGCTGGAAGAAGGGGAGAGATGTGAGGAGATGAAGAGAAAGCATGACATGTAGGAGATGAGGTAACGAGCCATGAGTCATGTGGCAGTACATGAATTAATAGAAATGGGTTAAGTTATAATAGCTAGTTAGAAACAAGCCTAAGTTATCCACCAAGCTTTCACAATTAAAAGTCTCCATGTCATTTTTTGTGAGCTAGGGGCTCAAAGAAAAATCCATCTACAAATGGCATCCAACATGAAGGCACATATTTCCACATAAGACCCGAGAAAGCTTAAAAATAAAAAAAGGTTTCAAACACAAAAACGGAGCCAAACACAGCCTTCTAGACCCACAGTCTCTCATGCAGACTGAGGTACAGAGATGTATCTCTCAGTCATTGCCTGTGGGCTTGAGCCACCAGGACACCACGCGCTAGGCTGCAGGGACGTTTAAGATTTTGCTCATACAGACAGAGAAGGTTACAGATACCTAGCAAAGCAGGTCCAGATGGAAAAATCCTCTAAACATGGTACAATGTGTTTAAAACTGTGTGTAGGCTTAAGAAAGAAAAGAAAATAGGTATAGACAGTCACAGAAAAAAGTAAATTGTTTATATAATAATAATAATAATAATAATAAGAAGAAGAAGAAGAAGAAGAAGAAGAAGGAGAAGGAGAAGGAGAAGGAGAAGGAGAAGGAGAAGGAGAAGGAGAAGGAGAAGG